GAAATTAAATTTTTGAAAATCTAAAAAATTTCTCAAAAATAAATTTCTAAGAGCCTTTAAAACTTTTCGAAATACCCTTTGAAAGCTATTTTTGAAAAACTTTATTTCTAAAAATATAACAAAAATTAATTTAAAAATTCATTTCCAAAAATATAACTCAAAAATAGATTTTTGAAAACATAAAAAAAATCAAATTCAACTACTTATATGAGAAAAAAGGATGGAAGAGGAGGAAGAAGAAGAAAAAAGAAAAAAAAAAAAAAAGAAAAGGTAAAATTATAATTTATTAAATGATAAATTTGATATTTATTATGTGAATATTTTTGAAAAAAAAATTGATATTGTAAAGAAAATTTTGGATAGTGTATATAAAAGCCCAAAAAAAATCCTACTCTGAATTCGTGGATGCAAATTTTGTCACGTCTATCTTTTCTTTGTTTCTTTCTTTTTTCAATAATGAAACTTTGTCTCTTGAGTTAATTATTTTTATATTTAATTTAATAATTAATACATATTTACTTAAAAAATTAAATTTAGTTTTCATAGCATTTTCTAGATGATTTTAAAATTATGACATGAATTTTTTTTGTTTATATATATATAATATAATATATATAAATATATATTGTCCGAAAGAACTACTTTAAATAATAAAGATTATTCTATGATTTTGAGAAGAATGAGCTTTTTGTTTATATCAAGATATCAATCAAATATGTGAAAAGATTTTTATGAATTATCTAGATTATATATAATTTAGAGTCAGAGAATAATTGAAAAAATTATAAAAATTATTATGATGATAAAAAATGAACGACAAAAAATATAAAAAAATTATCTTTATATTTATCATTATGTTATAAAAAAAAATCTACTTGTGTGTGTATATATATATATATATATATATATATGGAATGATAGACGAATAGTATGAAGTGTTTCATTGTCCTTGAAGAAAATATTCGAAGTTTGACTGACTTGTTTTAATGTCATACTATATTGTCTTATCATTAAATTAAATTATATTTAAATCTTCATGAGAAAATTCTGCAAAGATGTCGGTAATTGCTGTGTTTTTTCTTAGCAATAACAAGTATAGGAAAATATGATCTCTAGAATTAGCGTGTTGGCTTTGTCCTAATTTTCTACGTTATTTTCCACACTAATAATGTTTATGCTAATAGCACAAAGTAGCTTAATTATTTACTAGTAATTTGAAATCCCTTAATTTTGATCAACTGTATTAATCTTGAAGCTTAATTAATTTAATTGTTTTACTTCATTTTATGGTTTGAAAACTCGATAAGTATCCAAAGACTTTTTTTTATAAAAAATTATTTGATATATTGATAGTAGAGTTTTTTAATTTCACAAGCAGAATTTAGATAATAACACATGTACTATTTTTTAATTAATTTTTTTAAATATATAAAAGATATGTGTCACCATCTTAATTTTACGTATCAAAAAAATTAAAAATTTTATTTATATAAATAAAAAAAAGTTGAATTGAATTGGTAATTTCTTCTTATAAATTTAATTACTGATTTAAATTTTTTTGGATGCATGTATTTTTTGTGATCATGACTTGCAAGATGCATGAAGAGAAAGGAAAACCAAATGTAAAGATTTTGTTTATAATTAATATTAAAAGAAATTAATCCTAATTAATTACATGAATTTGTTGTGAACAAGGAGTTTATACCAATGCGAAGCAATAGCATGATTCTTCATGTAAAAAGCATGAAAATTTTGTGTGAGAGTTTTTCGATGAATATGACAATAATTATCTTGTCAATAATAGAATTAAAATTATCAAAGTAATTGTTTCATGTTAAATCACACTCCAAATGTGGAATTTATAAGACAATATTAGTATATTTACAATTTTGAAAAGATTTCATATGTTTTTCTAATTTTCTTTATTAATTATTTTAAGAACATAAAACATTTATAAACCTAAAGCAATTAAATCGTAAATAAATGTTGAGGTAAAACCGCAAAAGCACAAAATTATAAAAAAAATCACATGAAAGGAAAAGAAAAATAAAGCTTTAGTACTTGTTTGCAGTTTTTCTTTTTTTCTTTTACATTTGATTGCTAATTTTTTATAAAATAAATAAAAAATAATTTTCATTTGACTCCGTTAAAAAAAAAGATACTTTTGTGAAACTCGATTTTAAGGTCAAAAACTTGAAATTACAAAATAAAAGATCAATTAGAAGTAAAGATTGTAATTGTATCGATGTTTGTACTTTGACACTTAAGTTAATACTAGAAAAAGAAAGGAAATAGTGAAAATAGGAACATAAAGAATGGGTAGGCTCCCTTGATATGAGATGGAATATTTATACTTGTCTAAGAGGCATAGCCGAGCCAATGAGGTCCATACTAAGTAATCGAATCTAAAATCGAGCGTGGCTCAACCTAAGTTTACATGTCATGCAAGTTTTCAATCAAGGTTGACATTTAGACCTAACCAAGTAAGTTGTTGATTTGGCGGTTTAGATACAAATTTTGATAAATTAGGTTGGTCTATTGCATGAGCTTAACAAAAACGTTTAGCATATTCTTTTTGATACATTGAGATATTCTCTAGAGTGAAATGATAAATTTATCTTTATGATCATTAAATATTTCTATCAAAGGAAAAAAATGTTTTAAAAATTGTTTTGTTTATGAATTTTATGATTTATAAATAAATAATTGTTAACGGTGTTCCTAGGATGTCTTAGTTGTAAGGAGCAAGGTAAGGTGAAAAAGAAAGACAACGATGACCTATAACAAAAAATTACGGTAAAAGAATGTCAAAATTATTACTCTGAGGCATGCTTTGACACTTAAGTTAATATAATGCTTAAGATAGGATTAGGAAGCAAGACAATGAATTGTGTGTTAGAAACTTTAATGGATATGAGAGAGTTTAAAGAGTTTTCGAATCTAATTTCTGTTACCTTAAATATTTGATTTTTTTTATTTACTTTTTGCTTGAGATCAAGAGTGACGGTTCGATTGAGACAATTGATAATTGATAAAATATTTATGTGAAGTTCGAAGAAGGTCATGAAAATTACATTTAATAAACTTAAGCAAGCATAAATTATATTTAATAATCTTAACCAAATTGGGTACTAACGAGTCATTTATTATTTGATTGCCTTACCAAGTTGTTGGTGGGACCTTCGATGAGTCCTTCTTCCTTTGGTGGATGGTGAACCATCCCTTTAAAGCAGGTGATAAAATTGTTTAAACATGCTTTCCGCCATTTTTTACACTCTTTTTAATTATGCCTCTAAGAATGATTATATTTCCTAATATGATACAAAACCCACATTAGTCTCTAGAAATACAACTTTTTTTTACTAAATATTTAATTTGAGAAGAAAATTTAATATCGTCATTTATTTCAAGACTATACATATTATTTCAAACTAAATGTTATGAAATTCTATCAAATTGAAATTTTTTAATGAGAATGATATACACATATTGCTAACTCTTTTAATTATAGCATGTGAAAAAAAAAAAAAAAACTGACTCATAAAACAATAAAAGATTTTTAAATAAAAATTTAATACTATTTTCATTTTCTTCTCATATCATTTCTAACATTTCTCTCTCGTTCTTCAAATCCCATAGCCTCTCAACATTTTCCTATCAGATTTGCTTCTGTATTGTCTCTATTATCCCCCCCCCCTTTTTTTTCTTATCTCAACTCGGAATTACTAAGCCAACTAAAAATAAATACTTCTATCAAAAACCCATGGTGCTTGTTCTTAATTATCAAGTAAAAATTATCAGTTCAAGAGCCAGCCAAAATTCCGGAAGAAAAAATACTACTTGAAATATCCACTATCCTATATCTTTATCCATTTTCTTTCTATCAAAAAACTCAAAAAAGCACATACCCAGCCCTTAATCCCCTAATGGATATTAATTTTTTCCACAGATATTGCCAATTCTAATGCAAGGGCTATGTAGCTGAGTTTTTTTTTGGGTGCATGAGATGTTGGGGATCTTGTTTCGTCTGCTGGAGAATGAATGGTTCGGGCATGCCAAACCCAGACTTGAACTTTTGAATATGGAAAGCTCACAGTTGGGTTCTTTGAGGTTCGTTTGATAATGGTTGATTTTCTTGGTTTTAGATTTTTTTGTTAAATAACTTGTTTGGGTTTTGGTCGATTTTCAAGGATTTGAGTTACTGAGTTGCTTTGCCAAATGAAAATTTGAGGAATTTGTAAGAATTGGTTATAATTTTGTTCTTTCTCCCTAATGTTTTCACTTTGGTTTGATTTTTGTAATCAGAAATTTAATATCTAAAATTTAAGCTTTAATTTATAATTTTGTGAGTATAAAACTATGTGGGTCACTTAGCTAAACAAAAAAAAAGACATGTCAAACCTAATATTAAATCTCTGACGTTATTATACGTACATTTTGTTATTTTTTTAATTAAAAAATTTTAAATTATTATATCTCAATAATATTTAATTTAATTCAAATAAAACAAGACGTTTAATTTTGAAAAACGCTAACATCTTAAAAATTTACTCCTAAATTTAATATTTAGCTTATTTTTCCCCACTAGCATTACAATATAACTTCACCCCACAGCTCCAGGGATTTTCAATTCATGTGCATGCTATGCCATCACTCCTCACAAATCAGACCCCTTTCCATTTTTCTTTTTAAATACCCCTCAAACGTAATATTACTTTATTTCAAGTTAAAAAAAAAATCATAGGAAGAAGGAAAAATAAATAAATAAATCATGAAAGGCCATCAACATCCACTCAAATGTGATACTAAAAATGGAAAAAAAAAAAGAAAGGAATCCAACGGTGGAGCGACAACCATCCGCGGAAACCCGGAGCCGCTCGCGCCCAAGACTTTGGAATCTAACGTCCCTCCCTTTCCCTTCCCCCAATCTCAAAGAACTGTACCCACACTTTCCCCTATAAACGCACCCCACCCACTGCCAAACTAACCCAACCCTAGAGTTTGATTTCAACCCTTTTTCCCTTTAAAACCCTCTGGAATCTCTCTCTTGTGTCCCCGTACCCTCTCCCATCCCAAACTTAATCTCTCTCTCTCATCCTGCTCTTTGCCAACCCATTTTCATTTTGCCATTTTTTTCCTTCCTGTTTCTTGTAATCCAAGTAACAGTCAGCTAGACACAGCCAGCAGCGAAGTTTTGGGAATATCTGGTTTCATGTTAAGGAAGGGAAGAGTGGTTGGTTGAGCCATGAGTTGCAACGGGTGTCGAGTCTTACGAAAAGGGTGCAGCGAGTCTTGTATTTTACGTCCTTGTCTGCAATGGATCGAGAGTCCTGAAGCACAAGGCCACGCTACTGTTTTTGTTGCCAAGTTTTTTGGGCGTGCGGGGCTTATGGCTTTCATTTCCGCTGTTCCAGAATCTCAACGTCCTGGTACGGGTGCACAACTTCATTTTTCAATCTTACATATTTTGGGTTTTCATTTGATTGCAGATTCTGAAAGTCTTTTGTTATAAAACTATCCGTCAGCTTTATTCCAGTCACTGTTGTTCGAAGCTTGTGGGAGAACAGTGAATCCTGTGAACGGAGCTGTTGGACTTTTATGGACTGGAAACTGGCATGTTTGCCAAGCGGCAGTTGAAACTGTGCTACGAGGAGGAACTCTACGGGCGATGCCTGAACTTATGGCTCCGACACCAGCATCCGACGAAGCATCCGAAGCAACTTGTACGGACATGTGGAAGTTGCAAGAAACATCAACAAATCTGAACTCGAACCGTCGGTTTTCCAATTCAAGATCTAAGGTTTCACCTAAGCGTAAAAGGATTGAAGAATTCAATAAATTACAGCCGTCCGATCTAGATCTTTGCTTGACTCCAAGCTTTACAGGCAAGCAAGTACCGGATAACAGACGACCAGGGACTCCGTCTATGAACTCGGAGGAATCTGTCATGACGACGTGCTCTGAAAGTGGGTTTGCAGATCACCAAGGACAAGGCGAAGGAGCAGATAAGAAGTTACTGAAGTTGTTCATTTGAAGAGAAAAAGTCTTTTTTTTAGGTGAATCTAACGTTGAAATGATCTAGTTTCGCTGTAATATTCTTCCTTTCTACCACTACATTTCTTTTTTGGGGTTTAGATTATTTTTGGTGTACTTCTGGGGATGGGTTTTCCCGGAAATGATTTTTCAGGCGAGTTTTTGTAAATTTCCGGCACAGGATTTCTCTCTTTTTTATGTTTTAGTGTGTTAAAACTGTTAAAAGAGAGAAAAATGAAAGTCTGTCGGAGATCTTAAAAGCATCTCTTTTTTTTCTTTTTTTTTTTTCTGTTTATTACTTTGTAATCCTCTTCTTCTTCTTCTTCCTCTTTGGGCTTTAGTCATAACTGTATGACAGGAATAAATCAAACTTGTTTTTCTTTTTTATGACAATTTTCCCAATTTATGATCTCGGATGCTATATTGTCTCTGAAGAATTTTCTGATTGGTCAGGAAATGAGTGTGATATTCCCTGTTATATCCTTAACCTGAATCAGAATCCATCTCTTCAACAAATGACAGGAGAAGATATAATATAATCCAGGCAAATCAAACATTTTTAGCTGGAGAATATAAACATGATTTGAAGTTTTGTATGCTCCAACCAGGTGTTTGATAATTTTTATGTAACCCCAAGTATCCTGTTCCCGTCCTAGTACTATCCAGGTCAATGAAAATCCATACACGTATAATTCTTCATAAGAACCTCAAAAAGCTACATTAATAACCACATATGGTAAAGATGCCGATGTTAGAAATGCAAGACCTAATCCATATTTATCTTAAAGCACCACATTCTTGGCTTTATTGCTCAAAAAATTCAGTCTCCCGAATTGAATTGTTCTGTTTGACGAAGTCAGACACTTGAATCAAATTGTTTTGTGAAGTAGCTAATTCTAGAAGTAGGTTTCAAGCTTTGACTTATCTTGATCAAAATTTTCTCCAAAGCCAAATACGTGGCAATGAGTGTATGCCTCCATTGTCATTGGAGGTAAGCTGAAAAAAATGTTTCAGCAGAACCAACAAAGCTATTGTCTTGTACCTAAAACTGTACTCATCCTTTAACCTTTCTTCCATGGTCACTGCATCGTGTCCCCAACATTCCAAAACAAGCGCGTGTCATCCATTCATTCATTCGTTCAGGCATCTAATTTTCTCCTCACAGTTATCCACAACAAATAGATTAAAACACCAGTGCCGAATGAACAAGCTTGCTAAGGGCTAAAGGCAAAGTGATGCAAAGACCAAAGAGGGAAATTTGAGAAACTGTTGGGGCCATCGGGAGAAATGGGGACATTTCGGCGCTGGACAGATACACCTGATTGCGGGGCAGGCGGCTTTTGGAGAGTGCATGAGGCGGAGACAGCATATATTGAAGGGGGCGAAACTTGGAAATAAAATTAAAAATTTGAGGGCTCTTTCAATTTTTATTCATCAATCTTGTGGGGTCAGGCAGGGGGTGTTGTGGGACCTACAAAAGTTTGCAATTTCTACGTCTCATTCACCCAATGGGATGTCAATCGTACGTCTCATTCACGCTAAATTAGGATTGAAAGGGTTGAGTTTGATTCAATTACAAAGCTCAAATTGCAGCATAAAACATGGTAGTTTTTTTTATGAAATTATATTTATAAAAATTATAATTATGATTAAATAATTATCATGTTTAATAAAAAAATTGATAAATAAAATACATTTAAAAAAATATATTAAAATACTTTGAAATGATAAAATTTAATTCCCTTACAAATTTTTTTGATTGAGTAGTAAGATAAGTTGTACTTTAAGTGCTATTCGAATGTTAACTTTATTTGATATGAACAAATATTATTTAAATAATTCACTAATAATTTAATTAATGATTATTTGCTTTTAATTTGTATCGAAATTGAATTTAAAATATTTAAATATATCATACATGTTAAATAATTATATTTTATGTCAATTGATTTATACAATCATTCTTAAATAATATCTAATAAAATATGCAATTTGTTCTTTTATCTTTATATTATTATTTAAAAAAAAAAAAACTTGTGTGGATTATTTTTATCTTAATTTTTTTTTTTCAAAATTTGATCTATTCCCTTCCACTTAAGGGTATTATTTCCTCCTAAATTGGCAAGTGGTGGGAGCCACATCATAACTTCACCCCATTAACAGTAGAACATAAATGCTGAGGAGAGGGTACAATAATTGTTCATGAAACTTGAATTATTTAATTTTTAAGAAATAAATTTTAGAAGAGAAAATTTTGGTTTTTTTTTTTTTAATAAGTGAGCAACTTAGGGGGTTTTCGTTTTTATTTTTATTTTATTTGTTTCCCCTTTCTTTAGCTATTATTTCTGCAACGCTGCGTTTCGTCCCATTTGTTGCTGCATTTTGATATTTTGATATTTCATCTTTTTATGAAATCAAATTTAAAGTCCATTTGAATTGGTGATGAAATTCATTTCAATGAAATTAAAAATAGTGATGAAAGTAAGATTAATCATTATAATAATAAGATTAAAATTAGTTATAAAATATATGTTTAAATATAAATGTAATAATGATAGTGTGATAAATTATGATAAAATTAAAATAATTATTTAAAATATTAAATTAAATTTTATGTATTACAAATTTTACATGTAGTCAAATAATTAAAATTAATAATAATAATAATAAAACAACAAACAACATATTAAATAATAATTTTATTATATTAAATTAATAAAATTATTTTATAATTTTTAGATAAAATCTTTTTAAAAAAATTAATTAAATTATAAGGATATAATTATCTCTTCAATATAATTATAAGGGCAAAACAATAAAAAAATTTTTAAAAAGGCAAATGGCATTGGATTTAGAAAAAAAATTTAAATATCATAATTAAAACTACTAAATGGTTTTTCTTTTTTTTATTATTTTTTAATGAAAATGATACCTGCCTACTTTTTTATGAATAAATTCTAATTAAGGAATCTTTTCAAAGGGTTATAATAAGTACGAACGTCATTAACCACTCTAATAAGGTTGAAAAATTAACAAAACAAAATGATTATCTAGTAGAAAATGGGGTTTAATATGTAAATTATGTTAGTATGTTTCAATTTGTTCCTTCTTTCTTTAATCAAATAATAATGCTACCACCTTTTTCGTGCAATTGGTGGATTGGTATTGCTAATCAAAAAAGAAATCATTGACTTAATAGAATAAGTAAACTTAGTGTGCACTATAGATGAATTTAAAATTTAATTTAATTAATTCATTTGATTATTTAAAAAAAAAGATATTTAATAAATATAAAATATAAACTTTTACTTATAATCTGTTTTTTATTTTTAAAATGTTGATCCGTATTAAAAAGTGAATAAACCAAATTAGAATAAAATTTTTATATAATTTAAACAAAATATTTAAATTTATTTTTTAGATAAAAATAATTATTAATTATTCAATGAAATATTCGAGTGTTTATTAAAATTAATTTAAAATTAAAAAAAAAAAGGCAATACAGGTGGGAAGGGGGGCAGAAATCAGAATACGAAGGTGGTGGACAGCACCATAATTGTGAAACAAGAAAATGGAAAGAAGGTGTGACGCGGATTTCACCAACGCTCCGTTTCGTTGAATTGAGGCAACCACGACAAATTCCAAGCTTCTTGGTGCAGATGCAGATATATTTTTTAAAATCTTTAACTGTTCGGATTTTATTAGATTTGATTTAATATTTTTACATAATACTTAAAATTATAAATTCCTTAAATTTAATATGAATTTATGGATTTGATTCATTAATTTTAAATTTTTATTTTTTTGTTCTTTATATATTATTTTAATATAATTTTTAATATATTTAAATAAATTTAAATATAAAATAATTATTTTTATTTTATAAAAAATTAAAAAAATATATAATTATGTTCAGTTTTTTTTTTTTTCAAAATTTTTACTTTTTGATCTAAAACTCCACCTAAATTTAATATATATTGTACTTGATAAAATTAATTCTGCCCAGCTAGTCTCTTTTAAAATTAATTAAAGTGGGCTTGGATTAAATTATGTGAAATTTGTTTGTCAGATATTATTTCATGTAAATTAAGACTATGAATGATCCATTGAAAAGGAGTTTTATGGTTTTCTTAAAAATTGAATGGATATGAACTTTAATTTTAGTTCAATAAATTTATATAATTATTTTTAAAATATAATATTTAACATATTTAAAATTTAAAATTTATTTTATATACAAAATTAATCCAAATTTGTAAGCAATTAGCAGAAATACGTTTTGATTTAGATTTTCAAATTCATTAACACCCCTTTATTTTTCACAAATATTCAAAGAAAAAAAAAAGGTAATTTTAACTAAAAGAGTGTGAATTAATAGAGTATTCTAACCCCCATAGATATACTTGGTGAAAAAAAAAGAAAAAGGCAAACCTATTTAACAAGCAATTAAAAACACCAAATCAAAAAGCGCAAAGTTGGGGAATGATCAGAGCCGTTAATTAATAATTATTATAAATTTTTGTTCATATTCTTTTAGATTGCAAGTTGTCAGGCAAGTTGGAGCAGCTTCGTGCTCAGGGTCCTACCTGAAATTAGATGGGGTGACGTTGCTATCCCCATATATTTTAGGTAACCTCATGTCGCCTTTTAAGATTCGCAATAGTCTGCCTCTTGCTTCTTTCGGCCCCTTTCCTGATAATAAATATTTATTATATTAATTATTTAAAATATTTTAATAATATATATGATAATTCTCTACTTTCATTTGAAAATAATTTTTTAATGTAAGAAATCGTGCTGCATAATTTATTTTTCAGTAATTTTAAATAATAAAATCAATAATATAGTTGAAAAAATTTTGTTTTCAAATTTTATTGATTTTGGATTTTTTTTAGGCTTTTTAGTAGTCATGAATGGGTAATGTTAACTGTAAGCTTCAGCGGCAGGTTGGTAAGGATTTCTTAGTCTGATCATCTGGTAAGGTTTCTTTTAAATTATTTTCCTATTGTTTTTTATTGAAAATGGTAAAAATTTCATATGGGGTATATGACATAACTTTACCAAAATGGTAAGAATGGTTTTTGTTAAATTAAAAATAATAGTGATGATAAGATTATTTATTATAATAATAAAATTAACTATTACAATGATGAAAAATCAAGGTGAGATATCAATTTATATACAAATGTGCTGACGGTGATGAAAGGAGAGAAAAACTATTAAGGTAATTAGATTAAAATTTATAATATATTTAATATTTATGAAATCAATAAATTATTAAAAAATGTAAAAATATTTTATATTAAATAATAATTTTATGCATAAATAATTGAAAAGTAATAAAAATGGATTGAAAAAAAATTATTTAATAATAAAACTTATTTAATTATTAATTAGTTTATTATATAAAATTCTTTTATATTCACGTATAGTATTTATGTTTTATGTAAATTATATAAATATATATAGTTAATGAGTGATTACATTTTCATTTATGAGTAAAAGTTTTGTCAGAATATAAATGCTGGGAGCATCGGTTACCGGTTCTCTCCTTTTTGAGGCCAGCATGTGGCGAAAACAAGTACTGCATTAATATTACTGCAATAATGTTGGGGTGAATTTAATATTTTTTAGACAGTACGAAACCCGAATAAAACATTGATTTTTTTTTTTGGTTATTTGTTATTTTTTTTATTTTTTAAAATAAATAAAAAATAAATGATAAAAAACAAAAGATAAACAACAAAAAACAAAATAATGAAAATATTAACCAAATTGAACTTAATTGTGGAAAAAAATTGCTAACATTGTTTTAAAGGCACTTTTTCAAATCACCATAATAACTAACAAAGTTAATAGCTCAAAAGAAAATTAATAAATTGATTTGTTGTGTCAACATTATATGATTTTTTGGATAAAATAGTAAATTTTAATTTAAATAATTAGGGTTTAATTTATGATAAATTTTAAGTATAAAATTTTTTTTTCTAGTGAAATTGTTTTTTAATTATATTAATTCTCCTCTATTTTATTTTTTGTTCATCTTTTATTTTTGGGATGTCTTAAAATTATAATTTATTTTTTTAAATATCTAAAATTTTTATTTTTTATATTTTTAAATTATTATTTTTATATATTTTTTATTTTTTGACATTTAAAATTATGAAATTTTAATTTTAATATTAAATATATTAAAATTAAAAAAATTTAAAATTGGATAAAAATTAATATATGAGAAATATTTTGAGATGGAATGAATAATAAAATTCATCACTTTTTATAAATTTAAAAATCTAGGAAAAATTAAATGTAGGAAATAAAATGGGTGATATGTGAAATGCAAAGGTGATAGCGAAAGACAGTGATAAGGAGCTAAAATGGGATAGCTGTGGATTTGCCTTTAATGGATTGGAGCACGACGTGTTAGGTAAGAAGAAGATGGACAGAGAAATAGGAGAAAGGGGAGGGGACAGAGGTTCGTGTAGGAAACGAGGACTTCACGTGAGGGTATGGCCCACACCCCGGCGGGACAATTAGAAATAAGAGAAAAAAAAATGAAAAAGGTTTGGCCGTGTCTGGGGACTGGATTGGGATTTTGGAATCGATTTGGTTGGGATTGGGGCATGGTTCCTGCTGCCTTGGGGTAGCAAGTGATGGTTGATTCCAAAAAGCTAGTAGCCCCCAAAACCCTGGCGAGGGGATGCATGGCATGCTTTCTGACGTTGGAGAATGTTTTTCTTGTGCGTGAACGTGTCAGCTCCACATCGCCTTCCTTTCGTCTCAAGCCACAGTTATCAAAAACAAGGCTGTAAATGATTCGAAGAACGTATGTTAATAATTTATTTGTTTATTTTTAAAATTCTTCATGTTTGGTTTGTATACGATAAAAAAATTATTTTTATTTATTTATGTTTAATTTATTTAAATAATAAATTATTTTAATTTTATTAAATTAAATAAATTTATTTGTAAATATATATAAATATATATAAATAAATATATTCACACATCCTAAAAAAATCATAACTAAAATAAAAAAATTATAAACGAATATAAATGAATTTAATTAAATATAATAAAATTTTAAAAATAAAATTAAAGTAAATAATAAAAATATAATTTTATTAAGTAATTATTATGAACGAATAATAACGAAATAATAAACAAATAATTTTAAATAAATTTATTCACGAATATGAACAAATCAAATATACTTTTATTCGTATTTAATTTATTTAATAAATAAACATAAAAATATTATTTAAAATTATTTATTAAGTTTAATAGACTAATATAAATGAATAAAAATCGAATATATTCATAAATACTTAGTCAAAAGTTATATTAATTTGCATCTCTAATCAAATATTATTATTAAAAATAACATTTAAATTCTTAACAAAATTTTAATTAATCAAATAAAAATAGTAGGATAAACATAATATATATTATTATTACAATATATGTAAAGGGTAAATGAAGTTGTGAAGGAACTTTAGAAGGATTACTTTAAACAAATTTTAACTCGAAGCTTGAAAGTTGAAATGTAAATAATTCTCCAAGTATTTGGGCCTTCTATTCAAAGTTAATAGGCCCAACAAAAGGAAGTCAGGAAGATAGACCTTTGCAAATGAGCTAATCCAAACACTTCAGGGCTGATAGTATGTTTGGGCTAAGGCCTGTTAACAATTTAAAAGGGAGGTAAAGATACCAAAGGCTCTAACTTAGGATTGAACCATAGCTGCCCTAGAAATCAAAATTGGATGCCAATAATCACAAATAAAATTCACCAATTATAATTTAAATTATATGAGATTTATTAAATCTTTATATAGAATTTATATTTATAAGTAGTAAATTATATATATTGTATTAAATGTCATTATTTAAGTTGTTTATATGAATAAATTAAGGTGGTATTTGATAAATTGAACAAATTTGTCACTAAAAATAAAGCATAAAAAATTTAAGATTTAATTTATGATAAAATAATTTGATATTTTATTAAAAATTAAATGTTAAGTAAATTTTTTATTAATCTTTTATAAAAATGAGATGTAATTTTATAATTATTTTCAATTGAAAATTTTTAAAAAAGAATATGAAATTAATGCCATTAAATTATATTTTTAAATAAAATTAACTTAATATATTAAATAGTTAAAAATTATTTAATATTTTTTACACTTTTCATTAAAAAATTTTAATTAAATAAATTTTAAAAATAATTTATCGATCCCATTGAAAATATAAAACTATCATTGATGCTGTTCTCTTACCAAACACAACTCACAACGTTGGGAATCCACGTCATATCAACAAATTTAACAATCACGTTATTTAATCAAAGATTACTCCAGCATTTTAATAGTAAAACATTGATAAAATTTGTGATTAAATTAATATTATTAAATTCAAGTAATATAAAAATTAAATTTATATAAATTATATTATACAAAATTTTCGTAAAGTATAAAAATTTTTGACATAATTTGATTCAATTTTTTTTTATTTTACTTTTTCCTGGAAGCAGCATAAAAATACGATTTTTTTTTTTTGGAGGTACACCATTTTGGTGGGCGTTAGAACTGAAAAAAAAAAAAATCGTAAAGTATGCAGAAACTCACACGTTGATTGGACGATCCGAGCATACAACGACAAAAAAGGTAACCAGCTTAGCAGTTTACAGTTGTTTAAAAAACGCACGTGTTTCTTTGACCATGATGACTCCCAAAGAAGCTTCGAAAAAACCGAGTCTTGCTTGCTGCTTGCCCTAATCGCTTTTCTTTCAACTGTGAAGTTTCTATTGGAACAATAATGTTTAATTTTTTTTGCTGTAAATTTAGTTCAACTCAACTGAGTTCAGTTACGTAGTTCGTTAATTCAGGTGGGTTTTGCTTTATTTCTATTTTAGTATCTTCTGTTTATTACATTTGCTGTTTTACTGTCTGGGTTTTTTTTTTTCTTTTTTTTTTGGTTTTGTTGGGTTTTATGAATAAAGCTGAAATTTTTACTGCATGGAATTAGTTCATGTCTTATTTTAAGTTTTTTTTTTTTGTTTAATTTGAGATTGGTAGGTTTAGATTTTGTGAACTTGTTGTTCCGGGGTTCTCTTTGATTTGTGGTTTTTGATTGATTTATGAGTTAAATGAAGTTAATTTATTGTTTAGTGTGGTTTCTATCTGGGTTGTTTTTTTCTTCTTTTTTGAATAAATGGTATTTCATTAATCCCAAGAAGCAGGAAACCTGCTACCAGTCAACAAATCATATATGGTTTTTTTTTTATTATTATTTTTTTAATTTTAGTAACTCTCTGTAATTTCAGTAGGAACTGTTCGACTTTGATCATCCTGTTAACTTGCTATGTTGATAGTGGACTTTTGGGTTTTGGTGATTTTGATTGAGAATTAAGTTGATTTTATCTGAATATTGATATTTTTTTTTGCTGAAATTTTAGATTTTGGATGATAGTGACGAACTTGGAAACTGAAATGCCGGGTGGTCGGCATTTTTCTCGAGTAGATACTTTAGAGCTGAAATCTCAGATTGAAAGGAAGATTGGGCGTCTAAAAGCGGAGAAGTACTTCAATCTGCTCACTGGATTTTTAAGCCTTAAGATTAGCAAACCTGAGTTTGATAGACTCTGCATTGGTGCAATAGGGAGAGAAAATGTTCGTCTTCACAATCATCTCCTCAGATCAATTATTAGAAATGCTTCACTTTCAAAGACTCCTCCGTCAAGAGAGAACAAATTGGAAGGTTCTTTAAGTGTTAAATTGGCAAATGGGTATCAAAGAAGTAATCTTCAGTCACTGTGCAAAGACATTCCTCAATCCCCTCGTAAAGGCAGGACCCCAAATCTTCGTGATCACAAGTTCAGGGACCGTCTAAGTCCTTTAGGGCCTCATGCGAAGAGCCATGGTACAGCTTGTGAAGATGCACTTCCTAAAGTTCAAGAACAGCAGAGTACTACTGAGTTGCTTTCATTGGGTAGCAGGCCGCCTGGCTCTGTGGAGGATGGAGAAGAGGTTGATCAAGCTGCAGGAAGTCCAAGCATTCACAGTAGGAGTCCTGTTAGAGCTCCACTCGGCATCTCTTTGAATGCTAAAGGAATGCAAAAAGTACCATGGAATGGATTGGCATCTGCTTCTGAGACTTGTCAGTGTAGAGGTGAACTTCCTGATAGCAGTTCTTTGAGGAAGAGGTTGGAACAGAAGTTGGAGAATGAGGGATTAAACATCTCAGTAGATTGTATCAATTTGTTGAACGATAGTCTCGATGTTTTCATGAAGAGATTGATAAAACCCTGTTTGGAACTGGCTGGTTCAAAGAATGGACAAAATCTTATTGACCAATGTCATAATTGGTCCATGGCCTCTTTGAATGGGATGCAGCCTGTGAGATATACCCAAAAACAAAGTGGGTCCATTTCTGCATCAATGTTAGACTTCCGGGTTGCGATGGAGCTAAATCCCCTGATTCTTGGAGTAGACTGGCCAACACAACTCGAGAAGGTATGCCTGCTTGCTTCAGAAGATTGAACCGTAACAGATTGGCCCGATTATTTGGGTTGGAGCAGGTTCCAGCCAGAGCAATTTTGAGATATTTCAATTATAAAGTCCACTCTAACATTGATCTTGATCATACCATTTTTATAGAACAGATGAAGTAAATAAGTATAAAGGCTACATGAGTTTTGGATCAAGCTGATTAGATTGTATATAGGTCATGGCTTGGATTTATCATGGACGTGTGTGACATCTTGACATGGTGAAGTCCAACCATATTGACACTTTGTGAGAATCTACCTTTTACAAATAGGTTAAGCAACTATCCCCTTAATATCTATTGTTTTTTGTTGCTTTAGTAAACACTTATTTTTAAATAATATAGTGCATCTTTGAGTTTCCAAGCCTGCTATTGTTGAATTTGTCATGTGAGCTTTAATCATCTATTTTTTTTTTCCCTCTGATATAGCCTATCATTTTCTTATATTAATTTATCCTTCTGTTTGTCTGTTTACTCCTTGCCACCATAAACTCATTTACTGTAGTGGCTTTTGGATGCTAGTTGGCAACAAATTTATTTCATTCCTTCTATATCGAAATCAGAGCATTAGAATGCAAAAATTATTCTTTTGAAGGGCGCTGTAGGATTTACATGAGATTGGATGCTTTTCACTCATCTTATTTCCTTCTCCTTACCCTTTTATCTGCAACTGTTTTGAATCATATGATTGTGAAAGTTTGTCATTCTTACCTTGATAGATCAGTCTGTTCTCCTTTCCATGGCTTGAGAGTGTTGAATTTGAACCTTTGGTCTTTTCCGGATTTTTTTAGTTAGGTAATTTGGGCACATAGGTCAAAAAATAGAGGACATGCTTTTATAGAAGCCATTTGTTTTATAATTGTGCACATGTAGAATGAAGAAACAAGATGTCGGTGGTGGAATTTTGCTGGTTGAACTTAAGGCTGCTATCTGATACAAGATGGTGTAATGGAATCTGATTCATTCATGCATTTCATATGTCTAGCCCTGCTCTTCTTATATTTCCCTCACTGTTTTCTTTTTCATATCTTGGATTAGTTGGCAACTTGGCATTTAAACTCTAATACCGGTGCATCCAATAGGCATCATTTATCTATCATTGATATAAGAAGTCACTACTATTGCATTCAATAGTTCGTATTTGTGATGACAAATGCAAAATTATTTCTCAAATTCTTAAGGGTGACTTGATACAGAATGTTAGAATGACTAACGTTCAATGTCATGATGATGTAAGGTGGACTCGTTCCCAGTCAAAAAATAGCCGGTTGAACTTGTTTTTAGTACAAATCATTTATGAAACTTCTGACTTCAGTTTGACAAATAAAAGGAGTTGAGCCAGTCTCTTACCTTCTTTCAGAATCATAATGTGTGTTTCAAGAAAGTTTTTTGAGTTCATAAAGAACCCTGGCATTTGCTGGAGGACCTCTGGTTTTTATTTTGGTGACGTATGGTGCTCTGAGTTTGTTGGTTAGACAATGGGCTTTAAATATCAATTCAAACATATTAAGTAAACAGCACCTCTCAATCAAAGTAAGCCTGTTTTTATTCATGTAATTAGGTTTATTGGATGATACGGAGCAACTTCTTTAGTTGGTTTCACAGCAATTACTCGATTGCAAATAGTTTGTTATGCAGGCTGCGTCTTAATTCTATGGCCCATTCTACTTTCCCATACGGAAAGTACAAGAAAAAGTAGTCTAAATCTATCTATTCTTGCTTCTTGGTTTTTCTCATTTAAGAAAAAGAAAGGCTTGTGTTGGAAATTGTGGAAATTATGTTGGAAAACGTGTAAGAAAAATCGGTCTGGGCATTCTTGTAAATAAATGGGATGAGAATCATAAAACCAAGGGAAGATGGATGAGTGATAAGTTCTTCAGTCTTCAATCTTGAGTGTACTTGTTCATTCAAAGGATCAAAAACTCAGTGCTGACTGTGATGTTTGGGACTACAAAAGTGAAAGGAAGAGGAAGGAGCAAGAACCAGGAATGCAAGGAACATTATCCTTTGGCAAAGTAAAATACAATGGCAGATTTTAATTTCTTGCAATTTGAAGCCAAACATTTATCACGGGCATCTGAGATGGGGTTCACATCTACCAAATAGATCGATGAGAGGGAAAGCAACATGACCTCGTCAATTCCCCAGGCATACGCCAGACAAGCATCACAATCTCATAAATTTTTCTCGGAAATCAATCAATGATGAACTACTATTGAAGAAAACATAAAAGATAAATGGTAAATTATTGAAGCCAGATCAGGTTGACATTAAAGTTTGGCATACACCAGACAAGTATCACAATCTCATAAATTTTTCTTGGAAATGAATCAATGATGAAATATGAAGAAAACATAAAAGATAACGGCAAATTACTGAAGCCAGATCAGGTTGTCAATAAGGTTTTGATTTTAGTTCAATTATGATTAGTTCTTCAAGTCTTCTCGAGTTTTTTAACCTTTTCTTTTTACAAGTATATTTTATTGATATAAGATTTCATAACCTTTAATCTTTACTTAGTTGAAGGGTGTCCTCGGCGTTGTGTACAAACCATTCAAAAGAGATCCATTTGGGGAGACTATCGGCTTCCTATAACAAAGACAATTTGCGGGCCATTTTGCCTTTTACTTCTTCTGTCTAGGCTTCATTAGCTGAAATGGTCAGAATTCGGAAACCCACCCCTAAAGAATCAAGAAAAGTTGACAGGTACATCAAAACCGAACATTTATTTTACATCTAAAACAGGCTCAAACAACGTTTGCTGTCTCTGTCACTTTTATTTATTTGACTTTTATGATCCTATCCAATCCTCCTTTCCCATGCAATATTAATAATAATAATAAAAAAAAAACCACATTCTCTTAACTTATTACAACACCAAGTAATCTTGCTAGAAACTAAACAAACCATGTTTCAAAACCTCACTTTGTCCAGCAAAAGTTCAGCTTCCAGAATCTCTAGGAAACTTTTCTCAGTTAAAGGCATCGCAGTTTGTTCGAATGTTCCCGTTCTTCCCAGTCTTGACACCTACCCGGCCCAGCTTAGTAATGGCAGTGATAAAGGCTTGGTTAAATGCTTGTGAGTTGGCGGCCCAGGCGTTTACAGTAGGCTTAGACCTTGGGTCAATGAATAAAACCTGGTCGGAGGTGAAGAGACCCTGGCCTTTCTGCAGGTTCTGGTAGTAGACATTGTCAAATATCCTAGGTGTGTTGGGGTCCATGTTGATGGCTATCCTGGGGTCCACATTCCTGGGGCACATTTGCTGAAGTTGGGTTGCATAGGCTTGGTTCAGTGTAGGGTCCACTACATTTTGAAGGCTGAAATTGTATATTCTGTTCGCAAATTTGCCGCAATGAGAGAATCCAACGGTGTGCGCAGCTGTAAAATTTAAACAACAAAGGTCATTTAGTAAAAGCCAGAATCAATGCCTATGTATGTTTTTTAAATATGAAAAAACTCATGCTTATGTTAGAAAGCTGACATTCACGTTGCAATCATATATACTATCTTAACGTCTATATGATTCATGATTTAACGTCCAATTTTAGGACAGGACACACTCAAATCTTACTTTATTGTTTTTATAATCTATGTAACTGATGCCAGCTAATATAAGATGCAAATTACATTAGATCCATTCACAAGGGACATAGTGGCCTGTCAGAGGGACCAGAGAGAAATCTTTTCAGGCTGTGATTGGTCGTTTAGTAAGGGAGGTAGTACCTGAAAGAGCAATCATGTCTGTTTGGGTGAGTCCATTTGCTGCAAACAGAGAATTGAGCTGATTCAAGTTGAAAGATGGTGGAGGCAGCTTTCCATTTACACTGGCAGCTGTGGAGCTTAACCCATCCAATCTCCCCAATTCAACAGCAAAAGATGGTCCACCAGACTGCAATTATCATCACATTTACCAATTTTTATTAGCAATATGACAAGCCATTTCTTCTTTAGATTCAATATACATATCTGTATTATGTGAGAAGCAAGGTGATATCAAAGAAAAAAAATGTGGGGTGAAAGGAAAGGGGACAAACCAGAGCAATAACATCCCGGGTTGCCATGGCCAAGATATCAGCACAAGAGACCTTGTTTTTGCAGCTTGGAACTGCATCAACTGCTTCTTTGGCTTTGATGACAGTATCAAATCCATCTCCAGCTAATGACAGGTTATCAGGGTGATCCTTTTCAGCTGTGTTGCCACCAGAGGATGCAATGATTACTGAAGCATCACAACCCTGTTAGTGAATCCAAAGAAACCAAAGATTAGAAAACAATAATTCACTCCAACATGAAAGGTAACAAATTTAACCAATATGGACAAAAGGTATCCTTCAAATTGTGCAAAACCTGAACAAAACAATCATGGAAGAAGAGACGGATAGTTGCAGGAACTGTGACAAAAGTTTGGCTGAATTTCTTGGTGACTGCAGCTCTAACAATGTTTTCTACATTGGGGCAAGTCTTAGCATAGTAATTTTGTCTTAGTTGAGCTGATGCCGAGTCAGGAAGCAAACAAAAACTAAGAGCAAGTGACAGCACAACTATAAGATTAATGAACTGACCCATTTGATCAAGATATTGAACAATGGCAGAACAGAGAGGGTGTAAAGATTTATATAGAGAGGAAAGGCTTGGAAAGATTAATGAAAAGATAAAAGCATAGGAAGAAGTTTCCAACTAGCCGCGAGCCAGTTGGATGAGAATCTTTTTTAGCAGCAAAGAAAAAGTATGTAATATTTTAATAATAGAGAGAGAGAGAGAGAGAGAGAGAGAGAGAGACATAGCCAAGTTTGAAAGAGAAGTTAAATGTTTCGTTTCGCTCTACTCTTGTTATCTCATATCCATTAAATTTTAAATTTTTTTATAATTTTATATTCAAAATTTATCTCTTCATCTCCGTCAATGGTTGCTTTATCACTGTTCTCATCGTCGCCCTGAAACTTGTTAGACTATTATCTTTGAATCCAGCCTGTAACCAAAATAAATTGAATCCATCCCAGATCGTGGTCCAAGAGAGAGTGGTCGTCGAGAGAGATAAGGTGGGGGCTGAAAAATGGAAACAACTAAATTCGTAGCATGCACGTTTAAGGCTAGTTTCTATGTGCTTCAAAGACTAGAAACAGTTAAGATTCCGAGCAAAACAAACCATTGCCTGCTTTGGAGATCTCTTTCTTTACTTTTTTTTTTCCTGTCGAATTTTTTCAGGCTTTGGATCATTGCAATATTTTATGAATATATTAGTCAAATAGATAGTATGATCATGGTTAGATTAGAACTAAGTTTAAAAAAGAAATATGAGCTGTAGGAAGAAGGGGTGCATCAAAAATGGGCCATGCTTTTTATAAAGAAATCACTGATTGATCATGCATTGTGAAAATGGCCCCGTCTAGCAGTTTGATTCTTCCTTGCTATAACGTGCAGAGTTTATAATTAAGCAATAGTACTTGAGAAAGTGACAAAAAAGGAAAAAAAAAATAATAGGAATCATCAATCAGCTAAAAGTTCTTACTTTCTTTCTCCATGGTTTTCCATTTTAATTCATTGTTTTCAACTTTTCTTGATCAAACACATGTCGATCCAATATTATATTTACGCTCTAAACATGCAAAATGAAGAAAATATTACAAACACACTTTGCATCTTCAATTAAAAATACATCCAGCTGAAGAGTGAAAATTTTCAAGATCTGCAGCTTGGATTGTTCATCCAGCGCAGTTAAAACTAGTCACAGTCATGGATGCTACAAATGCTCAGAGACAAACCAAACAAAGAAGAAATCATTGCAGCACACCAATGAATGCATGTTTCTAATAATTAAAACAACGTGATCAACACATGTATTTTTCTTGGTTTTGGCTGTTATATCATACTTTCAGACAAATCCTGGCCCAGAATTATATATGATGAATTACACGGATATGATTGAAAAAAAGGAGTAGAATTGGAATATGATGGCTATAATTGGCTAGTCATCTATGTAACCTTTCTTTTCTTTTCTTACTTTTCTGTAAAAAGATTTTCTTTTCCTCCTTGGCCTAAAGCAAAACTTGTTTATAGCTTTATCCAGGGCAGCCCTTTGCTAGGTGTCACGTTCTTTTCTGACGCTGGGGTTAATTGTTTGCTTGAAAATTGAGGGAATTTTAAGATTCCATATATATATATAAAAGCAAACAAAATGTTTGGAGAAAAAAAATAGAAAATAAATTATACTTCAGTATCGTACACTTAACTTTTGATTTTGGAAGCCCACTTAATTCACGGGTATCAGGCTTACTCTGATATCAATAGTGAAAATTCGCATCCAATGAGATTTGTCTACTTCTGAAAATTTTATTATTTTATTTTATTAAATGTCTCACAAATATAATTTAAAATTTTTATACACAGCTAATGAAGGTGGACAAAAGTGGTGAGAGGTGAATATTTGGTACATTGGTATTCAGATTTAAATCTCTTCATGATTTTTTATTAATAGGTAATTTGTAAATTCAAAAAATCATTAAGTGAAAGTTCAATAAATTCGTAAATCTTAATTAAATTAACGAATTATTTTGACTTTAAAAATGGAATAACCTCCTCAACTCTTAAACTTTTTCGCATAAAAAAATATTTATATATATAAATACAAGATCTTCATAATATTTCAATGTACAATTATAACGTTACATTGAGTTATACAACCTTTACTAGCATATGAAAAGGAAAGTTCCCTTGTCTCTTTTTTCTTTTCTTGTCTGCCATGTGATCTGCTCAAATAAAACCAAAATATAAATATAAAAATAAAATAAAAAAGAGGGAGAGGGGAGTACATTTTTGCATGAAATTTGTTCATAAAAATTAAATGAAAAAATATAAATTAAGAAGATATATAATAAAATGAGGACAAATAAATCCAAGGTCACCATAACTGAAACTATCATATCAAATCACCTATTCTTTATCTCTTCCTTTGGCATTTTTCGTTTTGGGAAACATATAATAAGATTATAATTTTATTTTTTTCTGAGCCACATTAAATTATATATATTATCCTTATGATCACATGCATCATGTAGAATTATGGGATAAAGGGAATTGAGCTGGCAAACGATCTTGTCAAAACAACCAAGTTAGACACGCATCAATTCATTATTGAAGGAAGAAAAAATTTGCCTACTCCTAGTTAAGAGTTGAGAAGAAAGAAATAGTCAAAAATACTTCAACATTTTCCAGGCAATTGTTCAAATTCCAAGCTATAGATGACTGGAGCAATCTTTTTTTTTTTTTTCAACTTCAAAATTTAATGTCTAGACTTGAATTGATCAAAACCTTGACAAAAATGGTAGTATCATAAATCCTGAAAGATTTATTAGGAAATGGTCGGTTGAATTTGGACCGGGAACTTCCAACATAGCTTTTGGTTATTTATGGAGTTATCTAAATTAAAGGTCCACACTATAGCACTCACATGATATAAAGTAATTCAAGAAGAAACTTTCTTCCAACATATTAATGCTTCATTTGAATGATTAATGGAAAGAGATTTGATTGTATCACTATTTTATTTTATCATAGAATTTTATTTTTAATTGTATTATGGGATTAATTAAGTAATTTCTATTTGAAATTGTTCATCCATAGTGAAAGTTCAACTCTGCTGTCAAAATATGCCGCCTTAATTTTGCTGGACTGAAGGGATGTTCCTTTCAATTATGGGGTTCTTCATGGTATCCTGACAAAAACCAATTCTGACAGAAAAAAAAAAGTCGGTATAACCTGCTTCTCTTCACCTTACTGACTTGAGTTTATAAAAATTAATTAGGTTAAAACAGGCATCACTTCTTAGTCTTTACAGGTCATAGATCGTTTTCTCCAGTTACCCTTTATTCCACGAAAGTCAACCGAGGAAAGCAACCAAACCTGATGGTGATGATAGTGATTCTATAAAACCAACGTCTGGTTCGTTCAATTAACAAAGAATTATCACCCTCAACGTTGGATTCAAGTTTAGTCAGTGAATGTATGATCATTTATCTTAAATTATTGGATAAGGTATATATTGCTCTAACTTAAAAGATTAAACAATTTATCTTAAAATTTTTTGAAAAAAAAAAGAGATAGTGATTATATAGTTATATTTATTTATAATTATCTCTTAAAATAAAATATTTAATATTTAATCAATAGATCATATTATAATTGATGATATCGACAATCAACCGAGAAAAGCAACCAAGCTATACAGTGATACTGATTATATATATATAATTGAGTATTTCATAGATTGAATCTTAATTATTAAAATTAAAATTTAATATTTTATCAATCACACCACGGTTGGTGATGTTGATATTTTTGGAAGCTAAGCCTAGCGAGTCATAACCCAATACTACCAATTTGTACGACTTGGACACTGGAGGATTCACATACCTGCATGAGTTTGGGTAAGGTTACCAATTAGGCCTTCAAAATTATGAGAAATTGGGCTCTAGTTGGGCTTAGATTTTGAGACCAAAAGCCACCCATAAGCCCGATTAACATATTTATACAAATATTATTTTATTAAAAACATTATTTTTTATATATATTAGAATTTTGTCTTTTTTAAAACACTTCAAACTTTATTTTTGTTACATTTCAAATTAAATTTAAAATTTTTATTTAAACTATTGATATATAAAATATCAATATCATAAAAATATTTTTAAAATTTTAATATAATTAATAAAAAATTAGTGAACTATCATTTTGAATCAAATAGAATTTTTCATTTTAAAAGTTATATACAATTTTTTTATAAAGAAAATTATAAATATTAAAATTAAAACTCAAAATTTATTAAATATCATCACTTAAAAATAATTACATAAATCAATTAATTTAAACACCGAATTCAATTTATTTTTTTTATAGGTTATTTTTTTTCTAAATTTTTCTTCTCCACATTACATGATTGCCACATCCATTTATCATAATCTACTTGAAAAATGGGTCCTGCAATCGAATCTAATATCCTATAAAAACAAAGGAAAATGTTAAATTGCACGTACAAACAGACTTTAAACAAGGAGAAGAATGTGTGGCTAAGGTGAACATGGCACAGAAAGGAATGGAAGGAGACAAAGTATCCAAAATGATAATATCTACCCCACTTGAAACAAACAAATGAATAAAGTTAAAATGAGAATTTGAGTCCACATTTGTCCTCTCCTCAGGTCATGCTACTGTCCAAGCCACGTCATGCTGCATTTCCAAAACCCACTTAATAATAATAATTATTATTATATAAATTCAAATAAGTAGTTTAATTCTTGACCTGTATCCGTCGGCTTCTACTTGATTTGATCGGGTCAAATTTTTTTTTTTTTTTGAAAATTAAATTTCAAGTTAAGTAGGGTTAGCTTTTAGGCAAAAAAAATATTAGGGTCGGGTTTTAAATAAATTCATTTTGATTCGATATATATATAATATTTATTATTATTTATTTAATTATATATGTTATATTTATTTAATTTTATATTTATATTTTAAAAGATAATATTTTATTAATTTTGAGTTGAATTAAAGTAATTATGATTTTATATAATATTAAATTAAATCAAATTTAAATATAAAATAATATAAAAATTTTAAATTAAATCTAATCGAATTTAAATATTAAAAGTATAAAATCGAGTTAGATTAAATGGGATGAAAAAAACTCGTTTCACCCCGGCTTGTTATCATCTC